GTGTTCTTGGGGTCATAGGCAGCATTCCTCCTCCTCCAAACACGGCGAGTTGAGTTGATGCCAAAGAGCTGGATTTTGGTCTCCTCTGACCACAACACTTCCCACCAGTCCTCCTCGGCATCATTCAGATGTTCAGTGGCAGACTTCAGACGGGCTGGACATGTGCTTTGTTGAGCAGAGGGACCTTGCGGGCACTGCAGGATTTCAGTCCTTGTCGGCGTAGTGTGGTACCAATTGTTTTCTTGGTGACTGTGGTCCCAGCTGCCTGGAGATCATTGACAAGATCCTCACGTGTAGTTCTGGGATGATTCCTCACTGTTCTCATGATCATTGACACTCCACGAGGTGAGATCTTGCATGGTGCACCAGACCTAGGGAGACTGACACTTGTTTTGTGTTTCTTCCATTTGTGAATGATTGCACCAACTGTTGTCACCTTCTCACCAAGCTGCTTGGCCATAGTTTGGTAGCCCAGTCCAGCCTTGTGTAGGTCTACCATCTTGTCCCTGACCTCCTTGGACAGCTCTTTGGTCTTTGCCATGGTGGAGAGTTTGGAATCTGATGGTTTGATGGCTCCTGTGGACAGGTGTCTTTTATACAGGTAACACAATGAGATTAGCAGCACTCCCTTTAAGAGACTGCTTCTAATCTCAGCTTGTTACCTGTATGAGAGACACCTGGGAGCCAGAAATCCTGCTGAATGATAGGGGATCAAATCCTTCTTTCCCTCATGAACATGCAGATCCGTCATCATTTGTTAGACGCATTTCTGCTGAATTTGTTGTTGTATTCTGTCTCTCAGTGTTACACCGAACATTCCATTTGTTAGACCGATCATTTCTGTGTGAGGGGCGAACATTCCATTGTTAGACCGATCATTTCTGTGTGAGGGGCGAACATTACATTGTTAGACCGATCGTTTCTGTGTGAGGGGCGAACATTCCATTGTTAGACCGATCATTTCTGTGTGAGGGGGAACATTCCATTGTTAGACCGATCATTTCTGTGTGAGGGGCGAACATTCACCATCAGAGGGGAGCAAATACACATTTCCTTCATTGTATATATACATGTATATACACCCCGCATATATATCACCATTACATCAAATGTCAAGAGTCCCCCCACCATCAGACGTTAAGAGTCCCCCACCTTTCCTTACATTACAGTGCACCCCCTTACTTTGTGCGTCTGCCAGAAAGAAGCTGGGAAGCAGAAAGTGCAGATCTGGAGGAGGACCGGAGGAGGGCTGGAGACCAGGGGGTGCTGCAGCTTCAGAGAGAGGCGCAGGATCTGCAGGAGGAGCTCTGTCCTCCTTTCTGCTGCTGACTGCTGAGACCTGGGAAGGGGGGTTGGGGGGGCAGAGATGAGGGGGGTGTCGCAGTTGGAAGTGAGGTGTGGACAGGGCCGGTGCTTCCACTAGACAAACTAGGCAGCTGTCTAGGGCGCACTGCCACCTAGGGCCGCCTGGGCGCAGCACACTCTCTGCGTGTGTGACACCGCCACGTCATGAATGATCCTTCAGCTGAGAGGAGGGGCAGCAGAGGGGGAGGAGGAAGAAAGGGCAGAGGAAGATGCCAGGTGTCTGGGGCCAGTGTAGCAGCTGAGCTGCCGCTCCTTCCGGTGTTCCTCTCAGATTCAGTCCCTTACTGCAAGCCGGCCGGTGGATGCTGTTCTCTGTGGAGTTGTGTGACTCTGTTGGTGGCATCTTATTACATTTATTTTTGCACACTGCCACCTAGGGGCGCCTGAGCGCAGCACAGGCCAGCACTCTCTGTGTGTGACGCCACCATGTCATGAATGATCCTTCAGCTGAGAGGAGGGGCAGCAGAGGGGGAGGAAGAAAGGGCAGAGGCAGATGCCAGGTGTCTGGGGCCAGTGTAGCAGCTGAGCTGCCGCTCCTTCCAGTGTTCCTCTCAGACTCAGTCCCTTAATGCAATGCTGTTTACTGTGGAGTTTTGTAACTCTGTTGGTGGCATCTTATGGCATTTACTTTTGCAAATTAAAGAAATTTAGCAGGTTCATATTTTGTTGATTTAATATGTTTTACTATTTCTCTATTTTTTCTGGGGGGGGGGGGGCACACAAGTAGCTTGGCTTGCCTAGGGTGCAAAATAGTCTAGCACCAGCCCTGGGTGCGGGGGCCAGATGGAATAGCCAGGTGGGCCAGATGTGTTGGACACGAGCTTTAAAGGGACCCATGATGGGTGTAGAGTCTCCTCGCAGCGTTGTTGGCTGCATCGTTACGGGTGGATTCAGTCTACTTCACTGCGCTATTACTGGGTAACAAAGACCGATGGTACCCACAATGCTAGAGTACACAATGGTGGTACGCATGCTGAACGCTATGAATGCCACCACATCACAGAGCACACACCTTGCTTTAGCGCACCACAATATGCATGTGCACTGTGGTGCGACGCATTGTCAAAAATAGTCCTGGTGCATTAACAGCTGAAAAGACTGCGCTGCGTTACAGCAACGCACAATAAATGCACCAAAGAATGCACGTTCAAACAATCCACCGCTCTGAATGGACCTCAGGAGGGGGACGGGACTGGAGAACAAGAGAAGACCGGTCATCCCTACTGAAGCTGTCCGGGAGGAAGATGGCAGGACTGTGCGTTAAGGAACTTTGTGAAATCATCTCTTGGAAAATGGAGAATTCTTCTCTTCTGAGGGGCGCGGTGGACGTCTGTGGCCAGCCTGGAGTTGGGCTGTAAGGTTACATTGTAGGTTCAGTGGCCCTATGGCGGTATGGGGTGTAGGACCCATGCACGGTCCCTACAACCGGCTTCCATAACATATGATGAAGGCTTCATTAATCCCGGCTCGGGGCTCAAATCGCCAACACAACTGCATTCAGCAACAACTGGAAACCCAAAAATAACCGCGTGTTCGGGATCATGGGATCATCATGTGCAGCTCATTCAGCTGCAGTAATAGGATGACCATTCAACTCATGTGCCGGGGTGTAGATGTGGGCTGGAGGGGGGAGGAGAGGAGAAAAGGTCCAACGCCATCCCCCCCCCCCCCCCCCCCATCCCCCCCCCCCCCCCCCCCCCGAGTGCCCAGGTCATGTGCCAAGCATCTACCGCCTGGTGTCATCCTGGTGTCCTGGGTCTGATGCCATTTCCATCCATGCTCCTGAGCTGCCTGTGGCTGCCCAACATGTTGCCGTATGAAGGAAGGCCGCCTTACACTGGGCGCTCCTCCTCAGCACTGCCACCTCCACGCTTTCCTGACGGCAAGAGCAGCTAAAGGGACAGTCTCATCTGATTTCTGCACTCCTACATACTACTGACCCCCCCACTCTGTACATTACACACACCTGACCCCCCCACTCTGTACATTACACACACCTGACCCCCGCACTATGTGCATTACATACACCTGACCCCCACACTCTGTACATTACACACACCTGACCCCCGCACTATGTACATTACACACACCTGACCCCCACACTCTGTACATTACACACACCTGACCCCCACACTCTGTACATTACACACACCTGACCCCCCCACTCTGTACATTACACACACCTGACCCCCGCACTATGTGCATTACATACACCTGACCCCCCCTTTCTGTACATTACATACTCCTGACCCCCGCACTCTGTACATTACACACACCTGACCCCCCCTTTCTGTACATTACATACTCCTGACCCCCCCACTCTGTACATTACACACACCTGACCCCCACACTCTGTACATTACACACACCTGACCCCCACACTCTGTACATTACACACACCTGACCCCCCCACTATGTGCATTACATACACCTGACCCCCCCACTCTGTACATTACACACACCTGACCCCCCCCTTTCTGTACATTACATACTCCTGACCCCCGCACTCTGTACATTACACACACACCTGACCCCCCCACTCTGTACATTACACACACCTGACCCCCCCACTCTGTACATTACACACACCTGACCCCCGCACTCTGTACATTACACACACCTGACCCCCCCACTCTGTACATTACACACACCTGACCCCCCCACTCTGTACATTACACACACCTGACCCCCCCACTCTGTACATTACACACACCTGACCCCCCCACTCTGTACATTACACACACCTGACCCCCGCACTCTGTACATTACACACACCTGACCCCCGCACTCTGTATATTACACACACCTGACCCCCGCACTCTGTACATTACACACACCTGACCCCCCCACTCTGTACATTACATACACCTGACCCCCCCCCACTCTGTACATTACACACACCTGACCCCCGCACTCTGTACATTACACACACCTGACCCCCGCACTCTGTACATTACATACACCTGCCCCCCCCCCCCCTACTCTGTACATTACATACACCTGGCCCCCCACACTCTGTACATTACATACACCTGACCCCCCCCCCCCCACTCTGTACATTACACACACCCGGCCCCCACACTCTGTACATTACACACACCTGGCCCCCCCACTCAACATTTCACGCTGTCACCAGAGCAGGAATAGAGGGGGAACCCTTCCGATGGGCACACTAGTTCCAGCGAAGACCATCTAAGAGGGGATTCCCCTCACATTGGAGGGATTTCCACTGACTTGCCTACCGGACAGGAAGTGAAGGGAAATCTCTACAATGGCGGGGGTCACCACCTTCAGATATTCCATCCAAAATGAAAATGAAAAGGTTTCGGCTTTAGATACACTTTACAACTCGACCAACAGCGCAATATGGCGGACCAACAGCGCAATATGGCGGACCAACAGCGCAATATGGCGGACCAACAGCGCAATATGGCGGACCAACAGCGCAATATGGTGGACCAACAGCGCAATATGGTGGACCAACAGCGCGGGCCGATTCCCAAATCGCGTAGAGCGTCCCCGAGACCCTCCCGAGGCTCATCACCACACAACGTCCATATTCGGGGGATAAAGGCTCCTTCCAGTGACAGCACCCTTTGTGGAGGCGTCCCCGGCCCTCTAATCAGTTCATTGATCATCTAGGTCACGGGGGTCACTGGCGGCCCTCCAGCTGTTGTCAAACTACAAGTCCCATGAGGCATTGCAGTATTGACAGTTACAAGCATGTCTCCCAAAGGCAGAGGCATGATGGGACTTGTAGTTTGGCAACAGCTGGAGGGCCACCGGTTTGACACCCCTGCTTCAGAACTACAAGTCCCATGAGGCATTGCACAACTGACAGTTACAAGCATGTCTCCCAAAGGCAGAGGCATGATGGGACTTGTAGTTTTGCAACAGCTGGAGGGCCACCAGTTTGACACCCCTGATCTAAGTGATGTATTAGCAGCTAAATACAATCAATACGTTTCAAGGCTCCTCGTCCAGATGGTCCTCTGAGGTCCTGGGGAGGTGGTGGCACATGGGGGGGGCCTCGATTAACGGCATGCGTTGCGTGGCCCTGGGGTGACACAATCCACTTAGAGGAGTGCGGGAGAGCCGGTGCCACAGATGGCTCCCGAGAATAAATCTTCATTTATCTCCTTCTAACCGCGTCTCAGGAAACAGAACGATGGCGGAACGCGAGGAGGCGGAACATCGATTACTGAGCGCACGCCGTATGCACCGCAAACCTCCATATACTAAAAGGCAAAGGAATACTAAAAAATATATATTTTACGTCTATGTACACTGAAGGAAATGTGTATTTGCCCCCCCTCTGATGCTGAATGTTCGCCCCTCACACAGAAATGATCAGTCTAACAATGGAATGTTCGCCCCTCACACAGAAATGATCGGTCTAACAATGGAATGTTCGCCCCTCACACAGAAATGATCGGTCTAACAATGGAATGGTCGCCCCTCACACAGAAATGATCGGTCTAACAATGGAATGTTCGCCCCTCACACAGAAATGATCGGTCTAACAATGGAATGTTCGCCCCTCACACAGAAATGATCGGTCTAACAATGGAATGTTCGCCCCTCACACAGAAATGATCGGTCTAACAATGGAATGGTCGCCCCTCACACAGAAATGATCGGTCTAACAATGGAATGTTCGCCCCTCACACAGAAATGATCGGTCTAACAATGGAATGTTCGCCCCTCACACAGAAATGATCGGTCTAACAATGGAATGTTCGCCCCTCACACAGAAACGATCGGTCTAACAATGGAATGTTCGGTGTAACACTGAGAGACAGAATACAACAACAAATTCAGCAGAAATGCGTCTAACAAATGATGACGGATCTGCATGTTCATGAGGGAAAGAAGGATCTGATCCCCTTCACAAAACATGACTTAGTACTTGGTGGCAAATCCCTTGTTGGCACTCACAGAGGTCAGACGTTTCCTGGAGTTGGCCCCCAGGTTCGCACACATCTCAGGAGGGATTTTGGCTTTTGGCAGATCCTCTCCAAGTCATTAAGGTTTGGTGGCTGACGTTTGGCAACTCAAACTTTCAGCTCCTCCACAGATTTTCAATCGGATGAAGGTGTGGAGACTGGCTAGGCCACTCCAGGACCTTAATGTGCTTCTTCTTGAGCCGCTCCTTTGTTGCCTTGGCCGTGTGTTTTGGGTCATTGTCATGCTGGAACACCCATCCACCACCCATTTTCAATGCCCTGGCTGAGGGAAGAAGTTTCTCACCCAAGATTTGAGGGTACATTGCCCCGTCCATCGTCCCTTTGATGCGGTGCAGTTGTCCTGTCCCCTTAGCAGAAAAACACCCCAAAGCAGAATGTTTCCACCACCATGTTTCACAGTTGGGATGGTGTTCTTGGGGTCATAGGCAGCATTCCTCCTCCTCCAAACACGGCGAGTTGAGTTGATGCCAAAGAGCTGGATTTTGGTCTCCTCTGACCACAACACTTCCCACCAGTCCTCCTCTGCATCATTCAGATGTTCAGTGGCAGACTTCAGACGGGCCTGGACATGTGCTTTCTTGAGCAGAGGGACCGTGCGGGCACTGCAGGATTTCAGTCCTTGTCGGCGTAGTGTGTTACCAATTGTTTTCTTGGTGACTGTGGTCCCAGCTGCCTGGAGATCATTGACAAGATCCTCACGTGTAGTTCTGGGATGATCCCTCACTTTTCTCATGATCATTGACACTCCACAAGGCGAGATCTTGCATGGAGCTCCAGACCGAGGACGATTGATGGAGTATTTTGTATTTCTTCCATTTCCATAGAATTGCTCCTACAGTTGTCTCCTCACCAAGCTTCTTGCTGATGGTCTTGTAGCCCATTCCAGCCTTGTGTAGGTCTACCATCTTGTCCCTGACATCCTTGGACAGCTCTTTGATCTTGCCCATGGTGGTGGTGAGGTTTGAATGGCAGAATGAGATTCCATGGACAGGCATCTTTTATACACGAGTTGTCGGTAGGAGCACCTTGACAGGACTGATCTGTGTACCACATGAGCACCTAGCCAGACTGTGGGAGCCAGAATCAGTGTTGGTTGGTGGGGGATCAAATACTTATTTTACTCTCTGAACTGCAACTCCATTTATAACATTTGTATTGTGTTGTTTCTGGATTTTTGGTTGATTTTCTGTCTCTAACATTTAAAATACACGTATGATACAAATTATAGACCGATCATTTCCTTCTAAGTGGGAGAACATACAAACCCTGCCGGGGATGAAATCGTTATTTTCCCCGCTGTACAGAGTCGACTATTAAAATACCAATCAGTATGAGCCGATACTGCAACACGTATGTGTCCCCGGGCTACAAAACCACTTAAACCACGTGGCTGCATCCATGTAATCACGCCTGGGACATGACTGCGCACTCAATATTCAGATTCCACAACAGGTCTATCCTATTAAACGGCAGGCGGCTGCAACGGCAAATATGGCGGCAAAGCGGCAGCGGGAGAAGGGCAGCGAACATGAAGTCGCTCATCTCATGGAAATGAAATGAATTTAATTGATTGGTATTTCTGTATACTAACCACAGCATACAAAGCCATCCACAACACTGCCCCGGCTACATCACCAACCTCATCCACAGATACAGCCCATATCGCCCTCTCTGCTCCTCCCAAGACATCTTTCTCTCTAGCTCCCTCATCACCTTTTCCCACGCTCACCTCCAGGACTTCTCCAGAGCCTCTTCCATCCCCTGGAACTCCCTACCCTAGTATATCCGGTCAGTCCTCACCCTGTCTGCCTTTAGGCGATCTTTGAAAACTCACTTATTCAGGGAAGCCTACCCCACCCCCACCTAAGAATTGTACTTGAATCACCTCCACCAGATCATCCCCCGTAGCCATCACCTTTTGTATCCACTCCCCCTTCCCTTAGATTGTAAGCTCCAAGGGCCGGGCCCTCATATTCCTTCTGTACTGAAATGTATTGTAATTGTACCGCCCCCCTTATATTGTACAGCGCTACGCAAACTGTTGGTGCCATAAATCCTGTATAATAATAATAATATACTCTGCACTCTTTCTACTCTGTAATATAACAGATTTGATACATTTCATTATCATGGACTTTATACATTATAACAATTTTATATATCGTGATAGTAAATGTTATACAATGTATCGTAATGAGCTTTATACATTGTAATGGGATGTGTATTGTACATTGTGACAGAAGATGATTGGATATATTAGATCAGATTGTAGACATTGTATTAGTAGGATTGCTACATTGTGATAGGACGGAAATGATACATTGTGACAGGACGGAAATGATACATTGTGATAGGACGGAAATGATACATTGTGATAGGACGGAAATGATAAATTGTGATAGGACGGAAATGATACATTGTGATCGGACAGAAATGATACATTGTGATAGGACGGAAATGATACATTGTGATAGGATGGAAATGATACATTGTGATAGGACGGAAATGATACATTGTGACAGAAGATGATTGGATATATTAGATCAGATTGTAGACATTGTATTAGTAGGATTGCTACATTGTGACAGGACGGAAATGATACATTGTGATATGACGGAAATGATACATTGTGATAGGACGGAAATGATACATTGTGATAGGATGGAAATGATACATTGTGATAGGATGGAAATGATACATTGTGATATGATGGAAATGATACATTGTGATAGGACAGAAATGATACATTGTGATAGGACAGAAATGATACATTGTGATAGGACGGAAATGATACATTGTGACAGAAGATGATTGGATACAGATTGTAGTCATTGTATTAGTAGGATTGCTACATTGTGATAGGACGGAAATGATGCATTGTGATATGACGGAAATGATACATTGTGATAGGACGGAAATGATACATTGTGATAGGACAGAAATGATACATTGTGATAGGACGGAAATGATACATTGTGATAGGATGGAAATGATACATTGTGACAGGACGGAAATGATACATTGTGATAGGACGGAAATGATACATTGTGATAGGACGGAAATGATACATTGTGATAGGACGGAAATGATACATTGTGACATTGTGATAGCACATACTTCATACCTTGTACTGTCACACATGTAGATGGTATTATGGTGGATTTTATTCAGGGCAGTACCACAGATGGGTGTCCGGCTGACAATGACACGCAGTCAAGTACCATCAGGGACAAGTAAGTGGACATCGTGAATTAAATGGACACGTCGTAATCCATTTAAAATCCCCCAGAGAGACTCCCAAGAAGACAAAGTGAATCTCCGCCATTAGACGCTGACCCTGCGACACCGCGGGTTGCTGCACAAAGAGCCGCGGCACTCTGGGGGGTGGGGGTGGGGGGGACAAAAGGGACCATCAGCGGGCTGTCAGAGCGCCTGAGACATTATTAGAGACACGCAATTCTTCCTCTCCGGAAAGTATGAGATCCTTCCCCAACAATAAATACATTTCATGCAGCCGGCGCCCGTATTTCACGAGGAAGTCAGATATTTAGTATTTGTTTATTTCCTTAAATAAATCTTTAACCAAAATCCCGTCTGATTCTTAGAAAAACTTCCCTCCACCTATCGCCAATCTCTGCATTTTCCTGCAAACTCGGCTCCTCTCTGCACTGTGCAGTCACTATGGGGTTGGTTTCATTCCAGGTGCATTTTTTTATTCTGTACGGATCGTCCCCAGCAATCAACCAGTGAAAAATGAATAAACCTCACCGCTGTGCTTATTCATAATCAGGGGGACTCAAAGTCCTAATGCCTTTTCTGGCAGTGTGGCCCTTTAAGATGGCCTGCGCCAGAATCAAAAACCAGAGTCGTCTGTTTCAGTAGCTTTGTCAACACGTACGGCAGATTCAGCCCCACATCCCGGTAGGCTGCAGGACCGGTCCCATGTTCCCGGAGCTTGCGGGACAGGCCCCGCGTCCCGGTAGGCTGCAGGCCCGGCCCCACGTCTTGGTGAGGCTGCTGGACCGGTCCCATGTTCCCGGAGCTTGCGGGACCCGGCCCCACGTCTCGGGAGGCTGCGGGACCGGCCCCACGTCTCGGGAGGCTGCGGGACCGGCCCCACGTCTCGGGAGGCTGCGGGACCGGCCCCACGTCTCGGGAGGCTGCGGGACCGGCCCCACGTCTCGGGAGGCTGCGGGACCGGCCCCACGTCTCGGGAGGCTGCGGGACCGGCCCCACGTCTCGGGAGGCTGCGGGACCGGCCCCACGTCCCGGGAGGCTGCGGGACCGGCCCCACGTCCCGGGAGGCTGCGGGACCGGCCCCACGTCCCGGGAGGCTGCGGGACCGGCCCCACGTCCCGGGAGGCTGCGGGACCGGCCCCACGTCCCGGGAGGCTAGAGGACAAGCCCCACGTCCCGGGAGGCTAGAGGACAAGCCCCACGTCCCCAGAGGTTGCGGGACCAGCCCCATGTTCCCAGAGGCTGTGGGACCAGCACTTTCCCAGAGGTTGCGGGACCGGCCCCTCGTTCCCAGAGGTTGCGGGACCGGCCCCTCGTTCCCAGAGGCTGTGAGACCAGCCCCACGTTCCCGGAGGTTGCAGGACCAGCCCCACGTTCCCGGAGGTTGCAGGACCAGCCCCACGTTCCCGGAGGTTGCAGGACCAGCCCCACGTTCCCAGAGGCTGCAGGACCAGCCCCATGTTCTCAGAGGTTGCGGGACTGGCCCCACGTTCCCAGAGGCTGTGAGACCAGCCCCATGTTCCCGGAGGTTGCGGGACCGGCCTCATGTTCCCAGAGGTTGCGGGACCGGCCTCATGTTCCCAGAGGTTGCGGGACCGGCCTCATGTTCCCGGAGGCTGCGGGACCAGCCCCATGTTCCCGGAGGTTGCGGGACCGGCCCCATGTTCCCAGAGGCTGTGGGACCAGCACGTTCCCAGAGGTTGCGGGACCGGCCCCCACGTTCCCAGAGGCTGAGAGACCAGCCCCATGTTCCCGGAGGTTGCAGGACCGGCCCCACATCCTGGGAGGTTGGAGAGTTAGGTTCTATTTCAAGGACACTGTCGGCTTCACAGTGGGTGGATTCTTAGCGTGTCTCCGCATGCGACGCCTGCCCTCGGTTTGTGCACCTTTTTACAACAGCCCTGAGAAATGCAATACAGCCATTGCTGGAGCGCATGTGGACAGGAGAGAGCTGCAAAGAGGCTGCAGGATATCCACAGCCAGGAGATGCAAAAAATGATTTACAAAAAATGCTATTAAAAAATACATTTTAAATAAAATAATTATATAAAAGTGAATCAAATGTAAAAAAACAAATGCGATGTAAATTGATTTTGAAATATGATATAACATTAAATCACAATCAGAATAAAATACAATCATTTCAAACAATGACTTCAAATAAATGGTGACCGTTCCGGATACAGAGCAAATGAAATGTCATCCAGTTAGGAACGGACGTCTTGTGACCAAAGTGAAATCTGTTTGGATACGTTGGGCCACCCAACCCGTCTCACGGAATCAGTCTAAAGACGTCTACAGATCTTATATACAGGAATGGGAAACTCACCACGGCGGAGGACGTGTCAAGTGCCAGAGACGTCCAGCTCAGCAGCAACGTCATCAGTCCCAACAGCAGCATCCTGGAGTAAAACAGAAAGACTCAGTGGCCATGTAACTCCGCCCCAAAATCACTGCATACAATTATTCTGTTCATTTCTAATTCAGGTCCAATTAATACAAGCGATGGCGGTGTCATGGTGTCATGGCGGCAATGGGGCCGGGCGAAGGCACGATAAGCCTCCCATTGCACGGTAAGGTTCTCATATGAAGAGAGTTTCCAGCCAACTTCTGCTCATTCTTCTGTCACATTGGGGGCGCCCACATTGAGCCTCCTCCATTCTGGTGACCTTCTTTAAGTTACCCCCTAATATACAGTGCATTCAGAAAGTATTCAGACCCCCTTCCCTTTTTTCAAGGTTGTTATGCTGCCCTCTCTCAGTACCCCATGATGACAAAGTTAAAAATGTTTGCAAATGTATGAAATGGTTCAGAATTTTTTATTTTGAATAGTACACGAGGGAGGGGAGGACAAGCGGGTTTCATTGGTTGCAGGAGAAAAATGGAGGGCAGTGGTTCCTGTATATGCCGCCCCTGCCACCTGTCCTATCCAGGTGTAAAACAAAATGTGACAGGGAGGCTGCACGGGGCCCCCTGGAGCGTGGGGTGGGGTCACCATTGCGATCCCTGATACTACACTAGTGGTTGAGGGGGGTTTGGTAAAAAGATGTCTCAACGATGGGATTTTGCCATCCCCCAAACTGAAAATGTCCTGAGCCCCTATAAGGCTGCTTTTACACTGATGGAGGGTGGTTTACCCACACCATGGGGGCAACACAGTGCACCTGCGGCTTCTATTATAGCTAGCAGGAATGGTGCACTTTAACGCACACCACAACCCCTGCATTCAGGAGTTTTGGTGCGCTTTCAGAAAGTGAACTGAACCCGCAGGATATAATAGAAGTGTGCTGCCCTGGTTTTAGTTTGAGGGTCACATCAGAGGGCTCCGAGGGCCACAGGTTGAGTACCCCTTCTCTAACAGCACAGACAACATCTAGACAGTGCACAGGCCTCTCTTTGTGATGAACCAGTCTGGACCAGAGAGATGGCAATGCCAGATACAAGGCTGATACAACCATTTCTCAACCTTAGGAAGAAAAAGTCTTCAAAGAAAAAAATGGAAAAAAATAATTCCAGTATCGATTCGAATGTCCCAATTTCTTAAAGCTAGTCAAAAAAACAGGAGCTGTGTGTTCGCATATGGAGGTTGTCCACCAGCAGGGGCCACCCCTAGGCTTTTTGTGTGTTGTACCTAGCATCCTACACTGGCAGCTGGCACTATAGCCAGGTGGGCCAAGATCTCCTGAAATTCCCTGTGTCCTTCAATGAGTGGAAGTGGGTCTAGATCTACGGATCTTCACTGTGTCCTTCAATGAGTGGAAGTGGGTCTAGATCTACTGATCTTCACAGTGTCCTTCAATGAGTGGAAGTGGTTCTAGATCTACTGATCTTCACTGTGTCCTTCAATGAATGAAAATGGATCTAGACCTACTGATCTTCACCGTGTCCTTCAATGAGTGGAAGTGGGTCTAGATCTACTGATCTTCATTGTGTCCTTCAATGAGTGGAAGTGGGTCTAGATCTACGGATCTTCACTGTGTCCTTCAATGAGTGGAAGTGGGTCTAGATCTACTGATCTTCACAGTGTCCTTCAATGAGTGGAAGTGGGTCTAGATCTACTGATCTTCATTGTGTCCTTCAATGAGTGGAAGTGGGTCTAGATCTACTGATCTTCACTGTGTCCTTCAATGAATGAAAATGGATCTAGACCTACTGATCTTCACCGTGTCCTTCAATGAGTGGAAGTGGGTCTAGATCTACTGATCTTCACTGTGTCCTTCAATGAGTGGAAGTGGGTCTAGATCTACTGATCTTCACTATGACCTTCAATGAATGGAAGTGGGTCTAGATCTACCGATCTTCACTGTGTCCTTCAATGAATGGAAGTGGGTCTAGATCTACTGATCTTCACTGTGTCCTTCAATGAATGGAAGTGGGTCTAGATCTACCGATCTTCACTGTGTCCTTCAATGAGTGGAAGTGGGTCTAGATCTACTGATCTTCACTGTGTCCTTCAATGAGTGGAAGTGGGTCTAGATCTACCGATCTTCACTGTGTCCTTCGATGAATGGAAGTGGGTCTAGATCCACTGATCTTCACCGTGTCCTTCAATGAGGAGGAGAAGACCTGATTTTGGGTAGTTAAGATAATAGAACTTGGGACTACAACCACTTTTTTTCTGCACTTTCCATAGAAGGGGAGCAGGTTAGAATGCCTCTCAGGTTTTTTATTTTTGAGTAACTCCTGGGGACATTTCTGGTCACAAAAAGTTAGGGGAAATCATCCCCAGCAAAAGAAGATGGAATTAAAATCTGAAAGGGGTTTTAACCATTCCCTACTTCATCCAAAACCAAAAAAATGTTTTTGGGGTGCCAAAACAGACCATTCACGGCAGAGTGACTGGTGTCCTTAAACCCAACCATCTTATACTGCGCTGCACAGCAATCCTCCACTGCAGCAAAATTCCTGCTGTCTGCTGGTTTGGGAGCTTACAGGGAGTGATGTCAGCTTCCTTCATTATATGTCTCTATGCTACGGGTGTCAAACTGGTGGTCCTCCAACTGCCAAACTACAAGTCCCATGAGGCATTGCAAGATTGATAGTTACAAGCATGACTCCCAAAGCCAAAGGCATGATGGGACTTGTAGTTTGGCAACAGCTGGAGGGCCACCAGTTTGACACCCCTGCTTCAGAACTACAAGTCCCATGAGGCATTGCAAGATTGATAGTTACAAGCAAGTCTCCCAAAGGCATGATTGGACTTGTAGTTTTGCAGCAGCTGGAGGGCCGCCAGTTTAACACCCCTTCTCTATGCAATGGCCTATAGGCTCCAGCACTGCACCGTGCTCCCCCATACCCAGAAGTACAGGGTATGTTTTGCCGTTTGAGATGGAAGAAGGAACAGCACAGCAGTGATGTGAAGGCAAGTAAAAGCTGGTCTACGGGTGGGCTATAAGGAGACCGGGAAGGGAAACGGTGACAGTTTCTTTTTGCATGAACTAAGGGTGTGCTTATATATTTTTCAGGATTTCATCTGTCTGAATTTGGCTTACTTGTGGCCTTCCTTCTCTTCAGGCAGTACAAGGAAGCTCAACATCCAACTCTTGCCTTATCTCTAGGGTGTGAAGTCCAACAAACGCAGTCCAGCCCCATCCCGCTACTGTATTATTCATGTCCACTGCAGACCTCCGGCTCCTTGGCAATTAGCTTCTATCTCCTGGCTGGAACCCTCATCTCCATCCCAAACAAGACGATCTGAAATCAATGGGTGCGCCAGGAGGAGGCGGTAAGATGCAGGAACCTGTAATCAGAGCATCCCAGGAGGGTCCCGACGACAGATGGAAAGCTTCAATGCCTTTATCTGCCTGTCTGCTTACTTGTTTTCCCCGTTTCTCAGAGATACAAAAGGCTTCCATCACTGAGCTGTAACAAGCCAATTATTATCATATAAAGGCAGCAAAGCCAATGCAATTACTTAACTGCAACACATTACAGAGCTAACACACTGGAGGAGTTGTGTTTTAATTGGCTTAACCTCTATTTATAGACATGTGTGTCTTTACAAACATGATTAGAGCCCAGAAGAAAAGAAGAGCTAAAAGGGGAACCAAAGGCATTGCCGAAATATAATTCGAATTGTCACCTGTATGTATGTATGTGTAGGTATATATGCAGATTTATTACATGGCCATATGCTTGAGGTCACCTGACCATCATACCTATATGAGCTTGTAGGATATCCCATTCCAAAACCAAGAGGAGGCTGGTAGTCTCATTCACAACACATGTTCTTTAGGCTCTTCATCTCCAGAGACATAGCAGATATAGGGGCCTTGCTTATAGCTCCACTCCAATGACAACGTTTGTGGACACCTGACCATCACACATATATGAGCTTGTAGGATATCCCATTCCAAATCCAGGAGGATACGGATGGTCTTATTCCCAACATAGTTTCTTTATCTCCAGAGGCTTTCCCAGCATGGGGGTCTTACTGCTACACTATTTATTTATTTATTTATCGAGTTTATATAGCGCCAAAGGGTTTGCTCAGCGCTGTACAATAGAGGGGGGACAATACATGAAACAGAACAGTAACATCAAACAGTACACAAGGGGTAAGAGGGCCCTACTCTTCCGAGCTTACAATCTAGGAGGGAGGGGGTAGAGGTACAGGAGGAAACGGCTGTGGGGGATGGAGTGGTAGGAGGAGGGAAGGGCAGCGGCTGTTAGGTGAGGGTGTGGGTAGGCTTCCCTGAAGAGGTGGGTTTTCAGGGAGCGCCTGAAGGTGAGGAGGGAAGGTGACAGTCTGATGGATTGGGGTAGTGAGTTCCAGAGGATGGGGGAGGACCTGGAGAAGTCTTGCAGTCGTGCGTGGGAGGAGGAGACCAGGGAGCAGGATAGAAGGAGGTCCTGTGAAGAGCGAAGGGTACGGGTAGGGTGGTACCTGGGAATCAGGTCGGTGAGGTAGTTAGGGGCAGTGTTGTGAATGGCCTTATAGGTCAGGGTGAGCAATTTAAATTTAATGCGTTGGGCAATGGGGAGCCAGTGGAGGGAGGGAGAGGCAGAGGGGGGTGGCAGAGGTGGAGCGGCTGGTGAGGTGGATGAGTCTGGCCGCTGAGTTCAGGATGGTCTGAAGCGGGGAGAGCCTGCACTGGGGTAGGCCGGTGAGGAGGGAGTTGCAGTAGTCAAGGCGTGAGATAATCAGGGAGTGTACGAGTAGTTTAGTGTGGTGTCTGGGGTAAGGAAGGAGCGTATCTTGGAGATGTTCCGGAGGTGTGGAGCTGGCATGTGTTTGTAAGTGATTTGACATGAGGTTGGAAGGAAAGGTTTGAGTCCAGAATGACGCCAAGGACCTTGGCTTGCTGGGCGGGATTGATGGTGGTGTTGTTGGTAGTGATGGAAAGGATGGGGGGGGGGGGGCGCGGGCTGGGGGGAAGATGAGAAGCTTGGTTTTGGAGAGGTTGAGTTTGAGGAAATGGAGCGACATCCAGTCTGATATGTCGTTTAGGAGGTGAGTGATGCGGGCGGAGAATGTGGGGGTGAGGTGAGGGGTGGAGAGGTAAATTTGAGTATCATCAGCATAGAGGTGGTAATTGAAGCCGTGGGAGTGTATGAGTTTGCCAAGGGAGGAGGTGTAGATGGAGAAGAGAAGGGGTCCAAGGACAGAGCCCTGGGGGACCCCAACAGAGAGGGGGAGTGAGGAGGAGGTGGCACCGTTGTAGGAAACGCTGAAGGAGCGTTAGGATAGATAGGAGGAGAACCAGGAGAGAGAGCGGGTGTCTCTGATGCCAAGGGAGAGTAGTTTATTAAGGAGGAGGGGGTGGTCGACTGTGTCAAAGGCCGCGGAGAGGTCTAGGAGAAGGAGGATAGAGTAGTCGCCTTTGGCTTTGGCGGTTAATAGATTGTTGGTGATTTTGAGGAGGGCAGTTTCGGTGGAGTGTAGGGGATGGAAGCCGGACTGTAGTGAGTCAAGGAGGTTGCTGTCAGTTAGGTGGGCGCTTAGGCGATCGAAGACCAAGCGCTCAAGGAGTTTGGAAGTGAGTGGCAGCAGGGAAATTGGTCTGAGGTTGTTGAGGTCAGTGGGGTCCAGGGAGGGCTTTTTGAGTATGGGGGTGATGTGCGCATGTTTTAGGGGGGAGGGGAAGACGCCAGTAGAGAGGGAGAGATTGAAGATGTGGGTAAGGGAGCGGATGAGGGAAGAGGGGGGTGACCGGAGGAGTTGAGAGGGGATAGGGTCCAGGGGGCAGGTAGTGAGGCGGGCTTCTGAGAAGACTCTGCTGACTTCCTCAGTGGTAGTAGGGCTGAAGGAGTGCAGTGATGGGGGGGTTACGGTAGGCAGGGCCTTGGGTGTGGTGGGGGGCAGTGCCGTTGCGAGGTCAGAGGAGGGGAGAGATGAGAGGGGTGATGGAAGGGGGGAGGCTAGATGGGGAGGTAGATTGCAAGTTGACTATGTCCTTGCGGATTGCGTCAATCTTGTTGTGCAGATGAGTGGCAATCTCGTGGGCGGTAAGTGAGGTACTGAGTGGAGGAGGGGGGGGGGAGAGAGCAGGGAGTTGAAGGTGGAGAAGAGTCGGCGAGGGCAGTTTGAGAGGGTGTTAATCAGGTTAACAAAGTAGGCCTGCTTGGCGGCGTGGAGGGAGGAGGTGTAGGTGAGGAAGGCAGATTTGTAGAGGGAGAATGCATGAGGGGACCTGGTTTTGCGCCATAGTCTCTCCAGCGCACGACTGCGACGTTTGAGGCATTTAGTGTGGTCATTCTGCCATGGTTGGAGCGGTCTGGGTTGGATGTTGCGTGTGGTTAGGGGTGCCAGAGAGTCTAGGGTAGCTGATAGTGAGTCGTTGTACGCGGTGGTGGCTAGGTCAGGACATGACAGTGGAAGGATGCTGTCGTGTAAGCGGTCGGCAGCCGAGTGGAGGGGGGCCGGGTGCAGGTTGCGGAGGTTGCGGCTGGTGATGGTTTGGCGCACTGGGGGGGGGGGGGGGAGTTAGGAGAAGGGGAGGTGGAGAACGTGAGGAGGTGGTGGTCGGAGAGAGGGAAGGGGGTGTTAGTGAAGTGGTTAAGGGTACAGAGGTGGGAGAAGACGAGGTCCAGGGTGTTCCCATTGATGTGGGTGGAGGATTGAGTGTATTGTGTGAGTGTGAAGGAGGAGGTTAGGTGGAGGAGTTGGGAGGTAGCTGGGGTGTTGTCATTGATGGGGATGTTGAAGTCCCCGAGGATGATGGTCGGTAGCTCAGAGTAGAGGAAGAAGGGAAGCCAGGCGGCGAAGTCATCCAGGAAGCGGGCTATGGATCCGGGGGGCCTGTAGATCACTGCGATCCTTAGGGGGGTGGGTGAGAAGAGCCGGATGCAGTGAGCCTCGAAGGAGGAGAAGGTTAGGGAGGGGGGGTTAGGGAGGACCTGGAAGGTGCTCAGCGGTGATAGGAGCAGGCCGACACCACCACCTTTGTGACCGCTCAGTCTTGGTGAATGGGACCAGACGACACTATATGACCAAGAGTTTGAGGACACCTGACCATCACACATATATGAGCTTGTAGGATATCCCATTCCAAAACCAAGAGGAGGCTGGTAGTCTCATTCACAACACACGTTCTTTAGGCTCTTCATCTCCACAGACAATACGAACATAGGGACCTTGCTTATAGCACCACTCAATGACCAAGAGTTTGTGGACACCTGACCACCACACATATATGAGCTTGTAGGCACCCTACCATCACACATATATGAGCTTGTAGGCACCCTACCATCACACATATATGAGCTTGTAGGCATCCTACCATCACACATATATGAGCTTGTAGGCACCTTACCATCACACATATATGAGCTTGTAGGCACCTTACCATCACACATATATGAGCTTGTAGGCTCCTTACCATCACACATATATGAGTTTGTAGGCTCCTTACCATCACACATATATGAGCTTGTAGGCTCCTTACCATCACACATATATGAGCTTGTAGGCTCCTTACCATCACACATACATGAGCTTGTAGGCACCCTACCATCACACATATATGAGCTTGTAGGCTCCTTACCATCACACATATATGAGCTTGTAGGCACCTTACCATCACACATAT